TCCCTAATATTCGGTCACCGCAATTACAGGTGACTCTTAACTACCCCCCACCCTCCCCCCTCAACAATGACTTCAGATCGTTACACTATACACATCCTAACTACAACATTCTGGTTGTTCGCTGAGCAGTAATTATCGTCGACAGGCCCTCAAAACGAGAAAAAAATTATATATATATATATATATATATATATATATATATATATATATATATATATATATATATATATATATATATATATTGTTTATTTTTAGAACTCGATCGGGTTCTGGCTGGACAAACACAAGTGTCTGACCCACAGAATATTTGTCCGACAGACATATATCGCTATAACATGTTTAGTATATATTTACTAAATATATATATATATATATATATATATATATATATATATATATATATATATATATATATGTAAGAATATATGTACTTTCTGGTATTTTTTTTTTAATCTATTGCTATACACTCAGTTTTAGCTAATTTCTTTGCTATCTCCTGTATTCGTTAGGCTGTTAAACTCTGGACTTGTATGGGGGTGGGGGGAGGGGGGGTGGGGGGGGGGGGTACGGCTACAATCATCTCATTCATTCAAGATAAAGCATCTCTGAGCACAATCAGCAAACGACACATTCCTAAGCACGTGATTGTCGTTTCCAGATTGTGAGGTGATTACAAAGGTGGCGCTGACAGCTGCTCTTTGGTCGCTTCTTCTCTGATCGAGCTTGTATCTCTGATGGTGGTGGTTGTACTCACCTAGTTGTGCTTGCGGGGGTTGAGCTCTGGCTCTTTGGTCTCGCCTCTCAACCGTCAATCAACAGGTGTACAGGTTCCTGAACCTATTGGGCTCTATCATATCTACACTTGAAACTGTGTATGGAGTCAGCCTCCACCACATCACTGCCTAATGCATTCCATCTGTTAACTACTCTGACACTGAAAAAGCTCTTTCTAATGTCTCTGTGGTTCATGTGGGTACTCAGTTTCCACCTGTGTTCCCTTGTGCGTGTTTCACCCGTGTTAAATAATCCATCCTTGTCTACCCTGTCAATTCCCCTGAGAATTTTCTATGTGACGATCATGTCTCCCCGAGCTCTTCTGTCTTTCAGCGACGAGATGTGCATTTCACGCAGCCTTTCCTGGTATCTCATGCCTCTTAGTTCTGGGACTAGTCTAGTGGCATACCTCTGAACTTTTTCCAGCTTCATCTTGTGCTTCACAAGGCACGGAGTCCATGCTGGGGCTGCATACTCCAGGATTGGCCTCACATATGTGGTATACAAGGTTCTAAAAGATTCCTTACGCTTGTTTCTGAAGGCAGTTCTGAAGTTAGCCAGCCTTGCATACGCCGCCGATATTATTCTTTTGATGTGGGTTTCAGGAGACAGGTTTGGTGTGATATCAACTCCTAGATCTTTCTCTCTGTCCGTTTCATGAAGAACTTCATCTCCCATTCGGTATCCAGTATGTATTCACCTAGTTGTATTCACCTAGTTGTGCTTGCGGGGGTTGAGCTCTGCTCTTTCGGCCCGCTATCAACTGTCAATCAACTGTTTCTACTACTACTACTATCCCCCTCCCACACACACACACACACACCAGGAAGCAGCCCGTGACAGCTGACTAACTCCCAGATACCTATTTACTGCTAGGTAACAGGGGCATAGGGTGAAATAAACTCTACCCATCGATTGATTGATTGATGAAGATGAAGCCACCGAAAAGGTGGCACGGGCATGAATAGCCCGTAAGTGGTGGCCCTTTTGAGCCAGGACCAGTATCAAGAGCTGATACTGGAGATGTGTGGAGGTGCGACTGCACCCTGCGTGACGGGAGATGTCTCCCTCGTGTGTCTGCCCATCGTTTCTCGCCGGCGCCCGGGATCGAACCCTGGACTACAGGATCACGTGACCAGCGCGCTGTCCGCTCGGCCGGCCGACTGAGCTGGCCGACACACACATAGTGTGTGTGTGTGTGTGTGTGTGTGTGTGTGTGTGTGTGTGTGTGTGTGTGTGTGTGTGTGTGTGTGTAATTATCTAAGTATAGTTTACAGCATGAGAGCTCCGCTCGTGGCGTCCCGTCTTCCCATAACTCTTTGTCATATGAATACAAGTTCTAAAGACGACACCAGACTCTTGCTCTTGTAAACTCAGCCAATACCGTACTCTAATCGATAACAAATGATACCCTAATTAGGCCCCGAGGCTACATTGCCAAATACTTGCAAATTCCGAGCGCCCTGGCCAAGACTCGATCCCCCAGCCCCGTGGTGCAGGGCCGAGGCCTGTACCACTGAACCACGACATACATATAGAATAAAATATAGTGTTCCAGGAGTGACAGGCAGCCCGTGTGACGTCACAGAGACAGTGACGGGACGGCGGGTCCTAAGTCCTGTCACTCAACGGAGAGGTTTGACGGAGGAAGTGGCCTCTGGAGTGGTGATATGTCGCGAGTGAGTGAGTGAGTGAGTGAGTGAGTGAGTGAGTGAGTGAGTGTGAGAGAGAGTGTGAGAGAGAGAGAGAGAGAGAGAGAGAGAGAGAGAGAGAGAGAGAGAGAGAGAGAGAGAGAGAGAGAGAGAGAGAGAGAGAGAGAGAGAGAGAGAGAGAGAGAGTGAGTGAGTGAGTAACTGAGTGAGTGAGTGACTGAGTGAGCGAGCGAGAGAGAAAGTAAGTGCAGCAGAATAAGTGAGGGAAGGAATTATCAGGGGGAAAGCGCCAAGCCATTACGACTACATAGCACTAGGAAGGGATCAGGATAAGGATTTGGGATGGGACGGGGGGAGAAAAGGAATGGTGCCCAACCACTTGCATGGACGGTCGGGGGGATTGAACGCCGACCAGCATGAAGCGGGACCGTCGCTCTACCGTCCAGCCCAAGTGCAGAATAAGTGAGAACGAGTGTATTCACCTAGATGTACTCCGCTAGATGTGCTTGTAGGGAGGATCCTGACATAGCTTAACTCCCAAACGTGTATCAAATTTACGATTGAAATTTTGAATCGAGTTTGCTTGAACGACTAACTACGTCTACTCTATTAGACCAGTTTCTTCCCCCCCCCCCTACCATGTCGTAGCTCAGTCGATTAAGGCAGCGTCTGGGATCCTATCGGACGTAACTTCGAACCCTCGTCACGGCCCTTGTGGATTTGTTCCCCTCTCGGTGTTTCTTCCCCGGTGTTTCTTTCCCCAAGTGATCCATTCCATCGTTTCTCGGATTTCTTCAACATGGCATGACAGGAAGCTGCCCGTGCCATGACAGGAAGCAGCCCGTGCCATGACAGGAAGCTGCCCGTGCCATGACAGGAAGCAGCCCGTGCCATGACATGAAGCTGCCCGTGCCATGACAGGAAGCTGCCCGTGCCATGACAGGAAGCAGCCCGTGCCATGACAGGAAGCAGCCCGTGCCATGACAGGAAGCAGCCCGTGCCATGACAGGAAGCAGCCCGTGCCATGACAGGAAGCAGCCCGTGCCATGACAGGAAGCAGCCCGTGCCATGACAGGAAGCAGCCCGTGCCATGACAGGAAGCAGCCCGTGCCATGACAGGAAGCAGCCCGTGCCATGACAGGAAGCAGCCCGTGCCATGACAGGGAGCAGCAGCAGCAGCCCGTGCCACAGGACACGAGGGCGTGAAGCAACGCCACAATGCTTGGTACAGTAACCTGAGGCCTCCAGCCTTCTTTAGTAGTGTCAGCTGTGGCAATATGACACACTAACATCTCCCCCACGACGCCTCTTTCTCTCTCTCTCTCTCTCCCTCTCCCTCTCCCTCTCTCTCTCTCTCTCTCTCTCTCTCTCTCTCTCTCTCTCTCTCTCTCTCGTCCCCGTCCCTCGATCTTGTTTTATTGATAAATCAATTTTTTTTTTATAAATCTCTAAACTATATGTTTGACAGACCTCTCACCCTGTCCACGGAGGACAGAAGAAAATGTATATATATGCTGGTTAGCACTGTAAATGCCTGGCCACGTCTGTGGTTGGAAATAAAAAAAAATCTACTTCTCCCTCACCCCCCCTCCCCTCAATGACGCCCCCCCCCCCCCACGCACACTCTGCGGTCAACCACTCGTATTGTTCCTACTCTAACTACCTGCTCCAACCCCCTAACAATTATAACTTATGCCCAACATATAGAGGCACTGGTGTAAATAATTAATCCTGGGACCAATCCCACCGTCTGCCACCAGTTTCCCTTCACAAGTTATCACACACTACTGAAGGCTAATCAGGGGAGGAAACGTGCCTTATTGAATAGGAGAAATGTGAACAGGGGTCTCGATAAATGTTGATTGAGAAAATAGTGTTATTTATGAACAAGGTTCGCGTGATGCGATTATTTTTGTGGGTGTAACTGATTTATTTTTAGTTGTGAAGTGTGTACTCACCTAGTTGTGCTTGCGGGCGGGGGGTTGAGCTCTGGCTCTTTGGTCCCGCCTCACATCTGTCAATCAACTGGTGAACAGATTCCTGAGCCTACTGGGCTCTATCATATCATATTTGTGTGTGTGTGTGTGTGTGTGTGTGTATTTACCTAGTTGTGCTTGCGGGGGTTGAGCTTCGGCTCTTTGGTCCCGCCTCTCAAGTAACCTCACTGTAGACTCCAGAACATGGCTAATATCAGCCAACTGAAGACAAAAGCCTCTATGATAACATACAATATGTCTTCACCACACAATTTAAACAGCGTGGGGATGCCTTTGAACACGAAATAAACAATAAACAAATGTTTGCAGTGGTGGGGGATTAGGACTTGTTTACGCGCGATTAGTGACGTATTCCCACGATGTCTCTTCCTCCCCTAACAACCCTCAGTCGTCAGAGGATGCTAAACTACCTCCGGAAATCGACGCTTCTCTCTCGTTAGCTTCCGGTGGTCTCCACGTCTACGCTCTAGGGGTTGATGCTGACCCTTTGTGACCTTATTCCCCTCTCATATCAGTATAATTGGTCATTAGGGAGGTATTACCTGAGGTTTACCACAGCACCGTATTGGCAGGAGTGTCACTGGCCATTGACCGCCAGCCGGAAGTGACTACCGATATGGTAAGCCACGTAGGGTTGTGGTATCTCTCTCACACCGACTGGGATCCCGCCAGGGGCGCTGGTGTAGGTGTTGTGGTCTCTCACACCAACTGGGATCCCGCCAGGGGCGCTGGTGTAGGTGTTGTGGTCTCTCACACCAACTGGGATCCCGCCAGGGGCGCTGGTGTAGGTGTTGTGGTCTCTCACACCAACTGGGATCCCGCCAGGGGCGCTGGTGTAGGTGTTGTGGTCTCTCACACCAACTGGGATCCCGCCAGGGGCGCTGGTGTAGGTGTTGTGGTCTCTCACACCAACTGGGATCCCGCCAGGGGCGCTGGTGTAGGTGTTGTGGTCTCTCACACCAACTGGGATCCCGCCAGGGGCGCTGGTGTAAGTGTTGTGGTCTCTCACACCAACCGGGATCCCGCCAGGGGCGCTGGTGTAGGAATTGTGGTCTCTCACGCCAACTGGGATCCCGCCAGGGGCGCTGGTGTAGGTGTTGTGGTCTCTCACGCCAACTGGGATCCCGCCAGGGGCGCTGGTGTAGGTGTTGTGGTCTCTCACACCAACCGAGATACCGCCAGGGGCGCTGGTGTAGGTGTTGTGGTCTCTCACGCCAACTGGGATCCCGCCAGGGGCGCTGGTGTAGGTGTTGTGGTCTCTCACACCAACCGAGATCCCGCCAGGGGCGCTGGTGTAGGTGTTGTGGTCTCTCACACCAACCGAGATCCCGCCAGGGGGCGTAGATGAAGCCATTGTATCCTTTACATTTAATACAAAATTAACTGTCTCTCCGACTGTCAATCTCCAATAGCCTCTCAACTGTCAATCTGTGGAGATTGATTGGGTGTGTCAACCCAACAAATGTGTTGTGGGGTCTTTAGCTCCAAAGGGCACAATATATGAAGGTGTTTTATCTACACGTAGAATACAAACTACAAGCAGAAAGATACTATGGCAATGCGTTGGGATCGAACAGTCGTCTCTAGACTTCCTTGATACACGCTGTTGTCATTTTATTGTACCAACAGCACATGCAGGTTTTGAAGGCCTCGGCTTCAGTACTGATCGCTTGTCAAAAGTGTCATTGTATGAACAAATTCACAAGAGCCGTGACGAGGATTCGAACCTACGTCCACTGGGATGCTCTCGGACGTAGGTTCGAATCCTCGTCACGGCCCTTGTGGATTTGTTTCATTTGATGCATCACGCTATTGGGATTTCTGTGTGTCGTGTGTAATTGTAGTTTGAAATGTAAAGAGACCATAAAGAGAGGGAGCTGGTCGGCCGAGCGGACAGCACGCAGGACTTGTGATCCTGTGGTCCTGGGTTCGATCCCGGGCGCCGGCGAGAAACAATGGGCAGAGTTTCTTTTACTCTATGCCCCTGTTACCTAGCAGTAAAATAGGTACCTGGGTGTTAGTCAGCTGTCACGGGCTGCTTCCTGGGGGTGGAGGCCTGGTCGAAGACTGGGCCGCGGGGACCCTAAAAGCCCCGAAATCATCTCAAGATAACCATTAAATGGGAAGGGTTTGCCGCCAATCGCCAACTCACCACATCTTGAGATTATCTTGAGATGATTTCGGGGCTTAGCGTCCCCGCGGCCCGGTCCTCGACCAGGCCTCCTTTTTGTTACACACCCCCCAGGAAGCAGCCCGTAGCAGATGTCTAACTCCCAGGTACCTATTTACTGGTAGGTAACAGGGACATCAGGGTGATAAAAACTCTGCCCATTTGTTTCCGCCTCCACCCGGAATCGTACCAGGAACCTCAGGACTACGAATCCGAAGCGCTATCCACTCAGCTGTCAAGCCCCTGGCCCTCTGCAGGACAGAGGTCAACTACCGTCGCCAACTCACTGCATAGCAACAGTGAGGTGGTGCCAGACACTGTCAGTACTTACAGTGAGAGGAACAGTGACAACCTATTCAATCATTCACACTGAAGCGACACAACTATACGCCCGTCAAGGCACCGGAACACCAAACAAAGCCCAAACGCCACAAGCTTTGTCCACAGATTTATTTATTTTCTTTGGCCTCCTCTTCTCTTCAAGAGAAGAAGAGAAGATTAGCATGGGCGCCTGCGCAAGGATGACTTCTCTTCCTTCAGTCAGCGCCTCTACTGAAGAAAGAAAAAGTGCCCATTGCGAAGGGGTGACTGCGATAAACTTAACGAGGAGCTTTCTCTTCCAAAGTTTATGCTGGTGGAGACAGTCAAGCTGGGAGCCCGTCATTATACCCCAAGCTTACAAGGACATAACATACGGCCTCGTAAGCTTTTCAACACTTTTTTGGGTACTTATTCCTTGGCTTTTATTGATTTCGAAAGAAAGAAAGATTTGCAAAAGGACAGGATACCAAATTCAGGAACGGGAAGGGACGGTTGTGACGGAGGGAGAGGATAGTGGCTGGAAGTGGTGGAAGGGAGAGAATGGTGGCTGGAACGGGGAAAGGTGGGACAGGGCAATGTTTAAGGTTGTGTCTGTGTCTGGTCTATTGTTCACCTTTGTAGAGCATGTGTTCGCCCTGGGAAGAGTTCACCTTTGTAGAGCATGTGTTCGCCCTGGGAAGAGTTGGTAGGCCTGTGTCCTCATCAACACGATTAAGGCTGACAGTCTAAAGGGCAGCCCAATAGGGCTGATAGTCCTAAGAGGAGAAATAGGGCTAATATTCAGAATGCAGATGGCCCTAACGGAAAGTCTTAGACTATTGTCCTTAAGGGCAGAGCTAGGTCTAGTGCCCTGGTGGGTAGGGCGAAGGGCTAGGGGTCTGTGTTCCTTCGCTCTAGTCCCCCCCCTATGTGTTATGCTTGATTGCCGTCTCGCCCTCGCTGACGTGTCCCAATCACCCCCTGTTGTTTAAGATTCAGCTACTGAGAACAAAAAGTTCTAAGTAGCACGGGCTATGGAGAGCCCGTAGTGGACTCACCTGGCATAGGAGCGGGGCTGATGTGTCTAATCACCCCCTGTCTACTGACGCACAGTATTCACCCCTGTGTGTGTGTGTAGGGAGAAGTGGGGAGAGGGGGAGCTATCGTAGGTCGGGTATCGCGTCAGTCAAGCTTGTTTATTGCAGCCAACCAATTACCAATTACCAAACATTAAAGCCGAGAGAGAGAGAACGGGGGTCGGTCTGGCTGGCGGCCGGGTAGAGACAGCCTAGTGATCGCCGGTAGCGGAACGGAACACCTCGCATTGCCTCGGTAAGTGTATGAAATATACGACATATTCTCGGTTCCCGGGCGGGTATGTGAACGGGGGCTGGTCGGAACACTATCCGTCTAACTCGGAACTTTCTTACCAACACAAAGCAATCCTTTTTTACCTCCGCAGCGCTCCAGGTGGGGAGAAACACACAAAAAATGTTGCCTTTGAACAAAACTCCGGCACTTGAATACTCAAAAGCAACTTTTACTTTCATTTTACCCTTTTCCAGTCTATTGAGAATTTCTCATGGGGTGGGAACCAGGGGTCCCGCGCCGTGGCAAGCCATTTTGGGCCACGCTGAGAGGCGGCAGAGTGATGTTACTGTCCGTTTAGGGGCTGGTGTGAGTTTCCCACAGGTTGCCCTAAATGCGGAGACAGGTATGGGTCCAGGCTACGAGGGGGTTGAAATTTATGAAATGAAGTGGGTGTGAGGCTATTATGAGCCAGGAATGTTGACAATGCGGAAGTTCCCACGGGAGTTTGTCCGTCTGCTGGTTACTAGTGATGGCATGTCGCGCTCTGCCCATTTGTCTCAGCCTCCACCGGGGATCGAACCCGAAACCTTAGAACTACGAATCCCGAGCGCTGTCTACTCAGCCGTCAGGCCCCCCTTACATACATATTCACATGCATTTATGTCTCTTCTTCTTTGACAGGGTAAGATAGCTGCTATATAAACTAGTGTTATTAAGCACTTAACCACTGAAGGTGATTAGGGTGCTTTTACAAGCTCAGGTTATAGTTACATTTACATATATTGTATAACTGATACATTACATAGTCAATCTTGGGTACAAGTCCAATATATTATCCTAATCACCTTCTATATAGTTCTAGTATTCATATAGTAGTTACAGAGTTCAGCATACCTTAGCCCAGGAGGGCGAAAGTCAGTCATTATGGGACATTCTACAATATAATGTTCAAGTGAGTGCATGTTTTCTCTTTCACAAAGTTGACACATGGGGCCTGACAGCTAAGTGGACAGCGGTCGGGTTTCGTAGTCATAAGGTTTCGGGTTCGATCCTCGGGGAGGCGGAAACAAATGGGCAGAGTTTCTTTCACCCTGATATCCCTGTTAACCTAGCAGTAAATAGGTACCTGGGAGTTAGACAGCTGCTACGGGCTGCGTCCTGGGGGATGTGTAACAAAAAGGAGGCCTGGTTGAGGACCGGGCCGCGGGGACGCTAAGCCCCGAAATCATCTCAAGATAACCTCAAGATGGTATATTCAACATTTGGGTTTTGAGAGAGCTGCCAGATACGTCTATATCCCAGGCGTATTCTGGCCACTATAACATCACATTGCCGGGTTCTTGTTCTATTAGTCCCATATGTGAATGTCTCCTCACGATATCTATCATAATATTTAATGCTACAACTTTCGGGTCTTTGTGAATTTGTTAGGTCGGTGAGATTTTCATTAGATATTTGTTTAAGTATTCTCTTTGTCACTGCTAATGAAACACCCATATCAATGTCTACTGCAGGTTGTCTTTGCTACCATATCACCGTACAAGCGGTGATAGTCCACTGAGTGAACGACCATCCACGGCGTTCAAGATTCAACCATCCAGTGCATCCAAGCTACGACCATCCAGTGCATCCAAGCTACGACCATCCAGTGTGTCCAAGCTACGACCATCCAGTGTGTCCAAGCTACGACCATCCAGTGCGTCCAAGCTACGACCATCCAGTGTGTCCAAGCTGGGAGAGTGCCTGGACCTGCCAATATAGCAGTGAGTGGTTCAGACTCTGGTTTTCCCAACAGATAACTGTGGTTGTTCACAGGAAGGTCTTGTGTTATCTTATGCTTTACATGTTACTCTCAACCCCCATTCTCTCTCCTTCTCTCCCCTCTCTCCCCCCTCTCTCTCTCTCTCTCTCTCTCTCTCTCTCTCTCTCTCTCTCTCTCTCTCTCTCTCTCTCTCTCTCTCTCTCTCTCTCTCTCACCTATTAATAATGCTCACTACCACATACTAAACCCTCCTCAACCCTTCCCAACACCCAGAGTCACTATTTTGATATCACGGGCAAACTTTGTCAACATTACGTGGGGAATGGTTCAATGGCTGGCTTGCTTGCGGACTTGGCAACACCGGTCAATTTATCTGCAAGTGAATAGGAAATGATGACTCGGCGCCCTTCGCTTGTGTGTACAGCCAAATCGATTTCTGTACTCTGGGAGGAGCCTGAGATGGTCTGCCCCTCCACCTAACTCGCTGGAGAGTTGTGACTTTACCTTCACTTGACTCTCTCAGCTTATAGGTTCCCTATAAGCTCTATAAGCCCTATAAGTTCCCTATTGTGCCAGGTAAGTCCCTGTTCACTACTTTCTGATGTGAAGATCTGCCTTTAAGCGTTCACTGCTGCTTGGCGTATCTATCAACCTATAAGCGTTCTCTGCTGCTTGGCGTATCTACCAACCTATAAACGTTCACTGCTGCTTGGCGTATCTACCAACCCATAAGCGTTCTCTGCTGCTTGGCGTATCTACCAACCCATAAGCGTTCTCTGCTGCTTGGCGTATCTATCAACCTATAAACGTT